GCCTCTTCTGCATGTTTCACATAAGTAAAGCCATACTGTACGTGGTCTGTTGTAACAGGCATGTTTCACTTGACACATTTTAAGGTTAATCTATGTAGCATATGTAAGTTTTTATTCCTTTTTCTTGACATATAATATTTCATTGCATGACCATACCACATTTTGTTTACCTATTCAGTTGATGGACATTTAGGTCGTCTCAACTTTTTGGCTATTATGAATAATGCTGTTTTGGACAAACGTGCAAGTTTTTGTGCAGACACGTGTTTTCAATTTTCTTGAGTTATACAAACTTGGAGTAGAACTGCTGGGTCATAAAACAACCAAATGTTATTTTAAAAACATGACTGATAGAAAAAGACTTTTAAAAGTTTGTGGAGAAATGAAATTAAAAGAAACATATTTTATTTTGACCTAAGTTCTACCAAGTTCAATTCTGTAATCAATGATAGCAGCCATTCAGCCCACCCTAAAGAACTGAGGGTCCTGAGAATTTTATTTATTTATTTTTTTGATGGAGTCTCACTCTGTTGCCCAGGCTGGAGTGCAGTGGTGCAATCTTAGCTCACTGCAACCTCTGCCTCCTGGGTTCAAGCGATTCTCCTGCCTCAGCCTCCTGAGTAGCTGGAATTACAGGCGCATACCACCACACCTGGCTAATTTTGCTATTTTTAGTAGAGACGAGGTTGCACCATATTGGGTGAGGCTGGTCTTGAACTCCTGACCTTGTGATCTGCCTGCCGCAGCCTCCCTAAGTGCTGGGATTAAAAGTGTGAGCCACTGTGTCCAGCCCTGGGTCCTGAGAATTTTACCATGGCAATGCAGTAGTTTTTACACTATTAACTGAAGAAAAATGTGTGTCCTTTACAGATTCTTTAAGATCATGAAACAAAAAGAAGAGGAGCCAAACCAGGACAATAAGGTATATGCCTAATGATTCTCTGTCAAAAGTCTCAAAAAATTGCCCTTGTTTGATAATAATGAGCAAGAACATTGTCATGGTTTAGAAGGACTCTTTGGAGAAGTTCCCCTGGGTGTTTTTCTGCTAAAATCTTTGGCTAGCTTTCTCAAAATACTCTCAAAATAAGCAGATGTTATTGTTCTTTCGCCCTCAAGAAAATCAACGGGCTTATTGCCTTGAGCATCCCAAAAAACCTTTGCCAAAACCTTTGCTCTTGACTAGAACTCTTTCATTTTGACTGGATCACTTGTACCTGTTGGTAACCATTGGTCTGATTGTGTTTTGTCTTCGGGATTGTACTGGGAAAGCCATGTTTCATCTCCTATTACAATTTGTTTTAGAAATGCTTTAGAAGCTTTATGCCACTCATTTAAAATTTCCACCAAAATTTCTGCTCTTGCCTGCAGCTGATCTGGGTGCAACATTTTTGGCACCCATTGAGTGGAAAGTTGCTCAACTTTAATTTTTCAGTCAGAATTGTACAAGATGAACCCAATTGAGATGTCTGTGGTATTGGCTACTGCTTCTGCTGTTAACTGTCAGTCCTCTTCAATTGGGGCAGGAGCAAGATGAATTTTTTCCTAGTGAAAGGATGTGGATGGTCTGCTGCTGCAGGTTTCATCTTCAACAGTGTCTCGTCCCTTCTTAAAATCAGTTACCCATTTGTAAACTGCTCATTTCTTCGTGGCACTGTCTCCATAAACTTTTCATGAAGCATCAATTATTTCACCATTTTTGTATCCAAGCTTCGCCATATGTTTGATGTTTGTTCTTGCTTCAATTTTAACCGAATTCATGTTGCTTTGACAGGGGCTCTTTTCAAACTTATTTTATTTATTTATTTATTTACAGATGGAGTCTTGTTCTGTCACCAGACTGGAGTATAGTAATGTGATCTTGGCTCATTGCAACCTCTGGCTCCTGCGTTGAAACGATTCCCCTGCCTCAGCCTCCTAAGTAGCTGGGGCTACAGGCGCGTACCACCACACCTGGCCAATTTTTTGTATTTTAGTAGGGAAGGGGTTTCACCATGTTGGCCAGGATGGTCTGGATCTCCTGACCTTGTGATCTGCCCACCTTGGCCTCCCAAAGTGCTGAGATTACAGGCATGAGCCACTGTGCCCAGCCTATTATTTATTTATTTATTTTTCTGAGACAGGGTCTCGCTCTGTCACCCAGGCTGGGTAGTATGATCATAGCTCACTGCAGTCTTGGAACTCTGGCTCAAGAGCTTCTCCTGCCTCGCCTCTCAAGTAGCTAGGACTACAGGTGCATGCTACCATGCCCAGCTAATTTTTAAGCTTTTTGTAGAGACGGGGTAGTCTCTGTGTGTTGCCCAGGTTGGTCTTGAACTCCTAAACTCAAGGCATCTTCCTGTCTTGACTTTCCAAAGTCCTGGTATTACAGGTATGAGCCACACTGTGCCAGACCTCAAACTGATGTCTTACCCTTCTTAGTGCCTCAAACCAGATACTGTTCAGTCATGTTATAACAACTTAGTGCGGGTTTATTTTGTTGCAAAAAAGCTTTGAAATCCATGCATAGTTTTTTCATAATATGCATTTTCCATGACCTTTTCAAGACCCCTTGTACTGAACACCCCTCTCTGCCCGACAATTAGTTCTTAAGTTTTCCTTTCAATGGAGGCTGAAAACAGACACAGAAGCCTCTAGGCCCCCATGACAACTCACGCTATGTTGGGGGAGATGACTGCCTCGCAGCAGAAAAGTCAGACATGAATAACATCCTAAGAATGTACTGTGTGCCATTCGCCAGGCAGCCTTTTCACCCATGTGTCTGTTTCTCTAATAACAATCAGAATGAAAGCTAATGTTTATTAAGCTTTGACAGGAGCTCTTTTCAAACTGATGTCTTTATTTATTTATTATTATTATTATTTTTTGAGAGAGAGTCTTGCTCTATCGCCAGGCTGGAGTACAGTGGCGTGATCTTGGCTCATTTTAACCTCTGCCTCCTGGGTTAAAGCAATTCCCCTGCCTCAGCCTCCCAAGTAGCTGGGACTACAGGTGCATACATTATGCTCAGCTAAGGGGAGCAGCTCCAGGCACCAGCATGGGTGCCGGCTCCCTGCAAAGCTGTGGCTGGACCAAGTACATTGCAAGCAGCTTCCACTGCTGGCACTGGCAAAGGTGGTGATGCCTGGAAGCTTGGAGATACCAGGAAACAGAGCCCCAAACAGGGTGGTATATCCCTGGCTCAGGGAGTTCCTAGGTCTGGGCTCCACGAAGGGTGGCAGCTCTTCTCTCCTTCTCTCTTCTCTCCTTCTTATTGCCTACAACATGGTGAGTGGGGGCATGTTTCAGCCCTGTTTGTGTTACAGCTCTTTCAGTCCTGCCATTCAGTGGGTCCCGAGTTCTAATCTCACATCCAGGAAGAATGAAGTATGTGGACAACTGGAGGGTAAGGTGAAGAGGTGGTTTCTTGAGCGACAGCACAGCTCTCCAGAGACCTGAAGTGGACAGCTCCTTTGCGCAGGCAGGCTGTCCCGACATCTGCTTAGCTCTCAGCTGAGACCTACAGTGGGTAGCTCCTCTCTACTGGCAGGTCATCCCAACATCTGCCAGAGTCTGACTGAGTCCAGGGTTTTTATTTGCTTCACAGGAGAGGAAGTACATGCCGATTGGTCTATGGGCAGCCATGGGCAGGCCTGGAAAATGCACCAAGTTCTCACTCTGGTCCACGGAACTGGCAGCCCGGCCCCCAGGCTTCAGGCTGTCCCAGGGCTGAAGGCGGGCTGCACTGCAGACCTGCCTCTTTCCACCCAGGAGCCTGTCTGCCTCCAGCTGCCATCAACCTGCCATCCTCAATGCCCAGGCTGTTTGTGCCAAAAGGTGCCCATAGGCCCACACTGAGCCACCCTTAGCACCCCTTGGCCTCCCTCCTGTGCTTGTTGGCACTCAGAGTCTAAAGGGGACTGAGGGGCACGAGGGGGCTGGCATATCAGCACTGTCCCAAGTGTGTGCACACCCTGCCAGTTTGCAATACCACCCAGGCTTGGCCCCAACTTTGCTCTGAAATTGGAACAGGTATTGGGAGTGGGGAAAGGCTAGGCAATGGGAGCAGGCACTTTTGAGCCTGCAAGTGTACAGGGGGCTTTCTGGGCCCCCGAGAGTACAGGAACACCTAGGTCGGCAGCTGCAGCTGAGTAGCTGCCCTGGCCATGCCTCCCTCACTGCAGACAGTATTGTTGCAGCAACCACTCCAGGTGGGTCACTGCTGCCTGCCTTCCATACCAAGTATACAGAAAAATTACAAAAAATACGTTACTTAGAATACTTCCCTAAATGGAATCCAGACATTGTTGACTAAGCCAAGTTAGCTGTAATTGCTTTGGTGAATAAGGCAACATTCTACTTTTCCAATCTGTATACAACTATTTTTATATATAATTCCTTTTTTTTTCAGATGGAGTCTTGATCTGTTGTTCAGACTGGAGTGCAGTGGCACGATCTCAGCTTACTGCAACCTCTACCTCCCAGGTTCATGCAATTCTCCTGCCTCAGCCTCTTGAGTAGCTGTGATTATAGGCAACTACCACTACACTCAGCTGATTTTTCTATTTTTTAGTAGAGATGGGGTTTTGCCGTGTTGGCCAGATTGATCTCAAACTCCTGATCTCTGGTGATCCACTTGCCTCGGCCTCCCATGCTGGGATTACAGACGTCGGCCACCATGCCCAGCCACATTTTTTTTTTTTTTT